TTAAGCATCACAGTTGAGTATTCTGTTGTAACCAAAAACATTCTGGTCACAGCCAGGAGTTATTGATTAATAATAGATCCATTCCAACGCATTTTATAATAACCTTTGATAAACACGTGGCTAACATAAATCTTTCCATCCATTCATACATAAGGCAGTAGGTCTACTATGTCATTTTGTGTTTTGATCGGGGTCACCATATGCCACCTGCACCTGTCATCAACTGAGCTTTCCCCTATTCTATGTTTAGGATGTATCTTCAGAATATCATCATATCCCAAACTGCCAAAGCAAACTTTATATACTCTTGTTTTTTTATCTGTTAGTGATATAAAACAATGAATATTTTCACTGATCATTCAGCAGAGTTGTAGTCAGACTTTCAACAGAAGTCATCACTTAGCTTTGCAATTTGGGGAGAATTTAATTGTCACTGAATTAATTGCTTACCTTTTTCACGTCCGTGGTGGTTTGATATTAATGCTTCACAACGTGAGACCACATCTAGGTCTCCACCAGATCGTTTTACACTTCCAGATTGTTGCTATAAAACATTTATCGCCCTTATTTTAGTACCTTTGTTGGGACATTTTTATGACTTTCTCTGCTACATGATTATTGTTCCCCTTCAGACCATCATTAATTACTGTGTGGCTAATCCCCATCACAGTGGAAGCCTTTATATTGGGTCTTCAATCATCTGAACTGCACAAGCACAACAAGTCGTTCCCTGTCCATGTATAACGAATTCAATTTGCCAGATTATTACTATTAGTGATAATATTGCCTGCAATAATTTTTATAGCTCAGATAAAGCTAGTCTTACTGATGAGCAGCTCCGTTGGCCACTTGATAGGATGACAAGCTTCTAAATTTATTATTTTCTGAATTGATGCTAAAGTATGATAGTTCCTAGTTCTGAGTTATAAAACCAGTTCACATGAAGCCACACTAGTTACTAAGATGACTGATGTATTTGAATGTTATTAAATTTCTCCACTTGCCTCAAATCACTTACTGATGTCACATATTTTTTTTAAAAATTCTGTTAAGTGGAACAACCACATCAGTAAAACAGTGCGGCAGTATCAAATTATGGAATGACTGATTTTTTTTTGGTCTTCCTAATCAGTGTAACCTGCAGCCACTGTTTTTTTTTTTTTTTTAACATACTCTGAAGTATTTGTGTTACCGTTTAACAAGTTACTCTTCACAGGCACCAAACCTTTCACCAAGTCTCACTCAAATATGCCGTTAATTATGTTTTTGAGAGTTTTTAGTGTCACCTGCGCTTTTCAGATCCCTTTTTCTTTGCCACTTAATATCTCCATGACCTTGGGCAAATTACTTACTCTCTGAGCCTTAATTTCTTCATCCATAAAATATAATAAGACTCACCTCACAGAGTTGATGTGAGGATTGCATGAGGTATCTGTAAAGGTGTTTTCTAAACTATAATTTGGCATACAGTTGTGAGGTGGTATGGTGAAGGTATCCATCAGAGGTCAGTTGGGTTGTAACTTTCATATTGTTGTGTTTAATCCTGATTAAACTTCAAAACACACTGTGGCACTCTTGTACCTTGAGTTAGGTATAATAGTTGGGACTGTGTTAAAATGAGGTAGCCTATAAATTAAAGGTACCCCCAGCTGGAATTACCTGGATTAACTTTTTTCTGTAACTACTG